TGAAATCAAAAAGTAAAAAAATTATCAATCTACAATGATGTCGCTATGTCCGGAACTACGGAAAAGTTACAAAATTTTTTATACGAATGGCGACTGTCTAATGAGAAAAAAAAATTGTAATAATTTTTTGAACATTCTTCGATTTTTTAAAAATAGTAAAATGAAAATTTGGAAAAAATCATATTTCCGGACGTAGACAATTCTCCAAAGAAGATTTTCTTAAAATTTCAAGTAAATCGGTTTGGCGGAACTTGAGAAATCGTGGGTATCAGATTCAAAAAGACAGTTTTGAGAAAAACGCGTTTAAAGTTTCTAGTAAATATTTTGCAGTCTTAGTCATACAATTACATTTTTAACTTACTTTCATTCGATCTGCCATTCCTGCGCCATACATCGGACCTTCCTTGACTTCGAAAAAACTATTTTCATCATTTCTTATTTCTATTCGAGCAGTTCTGGCCTCCTTTGATGCGCTGGATGCTCGTATCTCGGAGCGGTCAATCCGGCCGTTGTCTCGTCTGATACCAAATGCATGCGCTTCCAGACAAATTTTCACTCCCATAATCGTCATCATCTTCAATATCGGTATAAACCCTTCATTAAATTACACACAGCAATAAATGTTGCAATTTCAATGATCTGAGACCCGGAATGGATATGCTTTGGATCGAAAGTCCATATCAGCGAGTTTAGAGACTCATTATCATTTTGAGTTTCTGAACCCAAACATCGAGGCAATAACTTTTCTGATGATAAACTTCGAAGGATTTGTCAACGAATGGACATGATGGGATGTAGCGTAGACTATCGCAACTGCATTGCAATGCAGTTTTGAACCCGAGTCTGCGTTTAGCCGTTCTTGAAAATCCACAACACAGTAGCCGTAATTATTATCTATGATCACCTCTTCATCATTTCATTTCCTCAATTTTGCTGCTGATGCACTCGTAAAACTGGTGTTTTCCTGTTCCGCAAATCTATTGCCGTGAAATATGTATATAAATATATAAAGATAGTTAGATAGATAGATATAACGGAACAAAAGGGCTTACTAAGAAATATAGATTCAGGTAGTCAGAGAATCCTTTATGTCTTTTGTTCGATTAGTTGCAGCCCAAACGGTTTGGACACCTGCTCAGCAAAATACTCATTTCTCCAAAAATAATTTGAGTTTTGGAAAAGCCTCTTGTTGACATATCCTAAAATAGTGAAGCTATAAAAATTTGAAGAAAATCGATTTTTTTAATTCCTAGACCAGAATATCCCCTTAATTGGAATTCTTTATTTTATTAGTTGTCACTAAGGGCCACAAGAGTCAATGTGGGTGAAATGCTATTTAGGGATTTGAACAGATGACGGCAGAACTCATGTTCAGGCCAATCAATCAGGTGCCTTACTCGAAAGCTACAAGTTCATTCAAATTCCATGCCTGTCTCGCCAACATCACTTACATTCGGATCAAAGGCACTAGTCATTTCAACTTACTTCATCATTACTGTGTCTATTTAAGCCCACAAAGAGAACTTTTCAACTTTACTCGCAGTGTACTTCAAGCGGTTAACTTTGAGTTGATAGAAACGAAGGGGAATATTCATCAAGAATTAAGGAGCTCAGTAACTCCAAAGAATCCATAAAAAATACGGTCAAATTCCAGTAAATGAAATGAACGCATCACATTACCGAAGGACATCCTTTCGACACTTAATGTCATTTGAGTGGAAGTTTCTCAATGGCCGAATATTAGATTAAATCGCGTAGAGCTAATGTATTACTGTGTCTTCTGTGATCTAGAATTCTACTTCGGAAGATGTTACTTTTATTTAATAAGTAGTGAATAATTTCAATCTAAGGCGCAACTTGAATTTGGCCCCAGTGTCAACCATAGTGACAAACACTATAAAACGTAATACAATGAAAGAGTATGTGGATTTTGGAAAATCATCTCGTAGCCATATTCCTAAATAGTTAAACTATGAAAATATGAAAAAAAGAAAATCGATTATTATTTCTTGACCAGAATACCCACTTAATGATATGTTGGTGATAAAATTCATGACTGAAATTACAGAAAATCAAAATCAATGCATTTTTATTGCTTAGGGGAAGGAAAATTTAATCTACTTAAACTTCGATTAAAAAATCAGCCTAAATTGGAACTTAATATTGTAATTTAGTTTTCCACAATGGCATTCTCCATAGCCTATTTGAACATTGTTAATCATAACAATTTGAAATTTATATTATTTTAACACCTAATAATATTTGTTCAAAATTCGATGATGCATACATTTGGCCTTACTTAGATATCGCATCTCAGGCCAATTCATTATAACATTATAATCTACCGAATGTCTATGTGATTAGTGTCCTATCAAATGGCCCTACTTTCAGTCCCATCTGGTTTATGTTTGAGCGAACAATTTAAATCGACTTTCGCAGCCACTCCTCTTGGCCTACTAATGATGGATGAAAGTGACAAGCACTCAATGTTCCAAACATTAGCAGTTTCACCACAGCACCACGATGAGGTGGGAGTTGGCTTCTCTGTGGGAAAAAGGCCCTTAAAAGGACCGTGGGGACGTGAGTATAATTGAAGTATAAAACCAATATTTAATATTTCAAATGATTTAGAACTCACACACTGAAGCAAATAATCGTCGAATGAAGGTGTGTTTGATGGAATTGTCCTAGTTTCGGAGGTATAACTGACGTTGGAAGTGGTCTTAATGAATCCGTGAATTCAGAAACTTTATTACCTACCATCATTGTCTCAGAGAAGTCGCGGATACTTCGTGGACTGCATTTGTATCTAAAAGAGAAAAACGAGGAAGACAAACTCGTTTCTTGCTAATTGAATACACACTGATTTAATTAAAATTAAAACTTTAGCTTTTATTTCATCCTTCAAGCAGTTGAAGAAAGTCGAGAAAGAATGGAAGGGTACACGCTGAGAGGAATGGCTGAAAAGTGCTAAATCAAAAGAAAAAAAGCGCTATTTTAAATGCCTTTGAAGTAAGAATAAGACCAATACTTATTTGCCTTATAACTTGAAATTTAAAATTACCTTACTTGCCAGTAATGCTTAAAGTGTAAAGTGCCAGTAAACTTGCTCCAAACCTCAATATTGAAGAAAAATATTAGGTAATAAAAAATTCCAACTTCACAATTCACTATACCAAACGCTAATTTGTGATGAGCTAGATACTTAATTTAATGAAAGTAAACAAGTCTCCAAGTGGTAAACAACAAAGATCAATTTTTTTCTTCTTCTTCGTCTTCTTGAGAGGGAATAGGCTGAGAGGCGATTTGAGGTGAAGACGAAGTGGGCGAGTTGATGTGCGAGTGGGTAAACGGAGCTGAAATAAGGAGAGGAGATGAGGTGAGGTGAGTGAGGTAAGTGAGTGAGAGGTGAAAATGAGTCGATTTAAGTGAAGGAAAGACAATTACCCATTTGGATTGGAGGTTGGTTGGTGTTGGTGCCATCAGTGGGGTCATCTGTTCTGAAGTTGGCTTGTGGAGGACTTGGTTCACTTGGTCGGAGCACACGCATCGAGGTAGGTGGGG